AACCACTATCTGATTAGATTTAAGGCCCACTCCACAAAAAGAAACCCATGTCTGACACTACTCAGGTGGCCAAGAACCTGAGACTAGATAAGCCATGGACCTAGGGGGAACCAAATGCTACTGCTGTGCTAAAGGAACACAGCAATAAAATGACTCCTAACATCATTCTGCTTTACTCATAGATCAGTGCCTTGCTCAGCCATCGTCAGAGAAGCTTCCTCCTGCAGCAGATGGGAACAAATACAGAGACCCGCACCTGGACAATGGGCAGAGTGAGAGACCTCAGAACACTCAATTCTAAGTGTCTTCATCAAATCTCTCCCCTCAGGGCAGGCTACTTTGTGAAAGATGGGGGAGAAAGACTGTAAAAGCAGGGATGAAGGACACCAAGGAAACAAAGCCTTCCAGACACAACAGGACTGACACCCATCTGAATGCAGAGACTGAGGCAGCATGCACAGGCCTGCACAGGTCTAAGCCAAATGGGGTTCCAGTGCTGAGAGGGGGAGTGGACACAAGGCCCCGTCCCTAACCCAGAAGCTATTTCCAACATACAACCACTCACACAGGAAAACTTAGTGTTCTCCAACAGTCTCTCTGGATATACAAACCACACTTAAGGGCAGGCCAACACAAAACTAACTCAGTGGTATTTTTGGAGGGGCTTTGTCTCATAATGCTTTGCCTGGGCATTTATTTATCTCACAGGTCTTTTGCTTATACATTATAGTTTCTGATTTTGTGTTTGTATGGGATTTCTGTGTGTACGAGTGTGGGTCTCTGCATCTGTATGTGTTTCTTGTGCTGTTAGTTGGGGTTTTTTCCTGTTTTGTCCTATTCCTGTTCTGGTGTGTTTGCTTTAGCTGTCTGTTTCTAATGACAGGGAGGAGAATGAATGAATTTAGGTGGGTGAGCAGGTGGGAGGATCTGGGAAAAGTTGGGGGAGGGGAAGCATCAGACTACATTGCTGGGGATGAAGCTTAATGGACAGAGCAGCAGCCCAGCAAACCAGAAGCCCTGGGTTGATTCCCAGCACAACCTAAAATGAGATGGTGAGACACAGAGGCCTACAATGTAACCCCGGCCACCTCAGAGGCGAGAGGAGGGTTTCCAGTTCACCCGTGGCCTCAGCCAGCTCCAGGCCCGTCTAGGCTACATTAAACCTCGCCTCCAGACCACAAGAGAAAACTCAGATGCCTTCTCCTGGGCTGGAGAGACGGCTCAGTAGGCAAAGGCAGTTGATGGCCACACGAGTCCAGCAGCCTGAGTTTAATCTCTGGTGCCCACATAAAGGTAGAGGACTGACTCCACTCTGACTTCAGTATGCATGCTAAGGAATGTGTACCGACATGTACATATCACGCATGTATATATCACACACATACTCTAATAGTAAATTTAAAATAAATATTAAAATATTTAAATTAAAATGCCATCTATCCAAGGGTAGTAAGAACAAAGGCAGGAACTAATACCAGCAAGTAGGGAGAGAATGGAATTTAAAACATGGTCTGCTGAGTGCACAAGAAAGTGACATTTAAGCAAAGAAATGAAGTGAGGGGCAATGAGCCACACAGATGCTGTAGAGACAATATCCCACACTGAGGCAGAAGCACGTGCCAAGGTATGAAGTGGGAGATGTCCAGTTTGTGCTTGCAAACAGTGGTGCCGTGGCTGGGAAAGAACTGGCCAGGAAAGAGGTTGAGGGCAGGCACAAAGGGGCAAGTCTCACATTTGGGCTACAGGAAGAACTTTATCTGTGAGTGATATGGGATTGGAAGGTCTTGAACTGACATGATTTGCTAGCCTGCATGTCAACAGGATCACTCAGCTGCAGCATTGAAAGCAGCCTGTAAGGGGGACAAGGCAGAAACAGCTACCAGTTGCTACAAGGGCATTGTTAATGGAATAATCAATGAGCACATTCATCTTTATTGAATAATGAGAATATCAATTCAAAAAAGTAATCGCACCAACTTTTAGCAGCTAAACAGGAGTACAGAATAACTTGATTTTTTTAACAGAGTAAGTTGGGGTTTTTTGTTTGTTTCTTTGTTTTAACTCTATACAAGCTACCCTCCCTTTAAAAGACAAGTCTGCAGCACCAAGTAGGAGCAGGGCATGCCCATCACCTTTTACTCTGGGTGTCTAATCTCTATTAGGAAAGCAAATCGGTTGACTAAGAAACACCAAATGAGCCCACGGATTCCAAAGCATGGGAAACCAAAAGGCCAGAGAGCCAAAACTAAATAGAACACAACCTCTGGCCTTAGTAAGCTACTATTGGCTTCATGCAGACATCAGTGAGGAATCAGTACCATTCCCCAGCTTCAGGGAAGAGTCAAGAGTCTTCCAGGTAAGGAACATTTCTAAACCTTTGACAGACTGTTTATTAAAGACAACAGGCAGCTGTAAACAGCTGTGAGATCAAATCTTGCCCAGGGCATGGAGGAAAGTGATGCATCTTCCCATGATGCAAGTTCTCAGAGGCTGCAGCTGTGAGACTGTCTGCTGTGCCTACTTTGTTCACAAAGCAGTTCATTTTTAGTGCACTGCTCTGGTACCCACAAGTGACTATACCAGAAGGCTTTAAGAAAAGCTCCCTTGGGGCTGGAAAGATGGCTCAGTGGTTAAGAGCACTGGCTGCTCTCACAGAGGACCCTGGTTCCATTCCCAGCACCTACATGGCAGCTCACCATTGTCTGTAACTCCAGCTCTAGGGGTTCTGACACCTTCACACAAACACACATGTAGGCAAAACACCAATGCATATAAAATAAAACTAAATAAATAATTTTTGAAAGAATTTAAAAATAAAATAAATTTGTAAAATGTAGTAAAAGCTCCCTCTGTGGCATCTTAGAAATTGGTTTAAAATCTATATAAATCACTAAATGAATGATTCAGTTCAAACCAAAACCATGTTTTTCCACCTCATCATATCCAAAAGCATGTTTTTCCACCTCATCATATCCACAGCCCTGACCGGCTCCTCTGCACTCTAAACTTACTGGGGATTAAGTAATTACTTGTTCCAGTACAAACAGTTTCCTGCCAAACTATAATTAAGTCAGCAAAGAACTTCTTCACTTCTTCTGCTAAACTTCATCATCAGGAACAATCTGAAAGCAATATATCTAGATACAACTCTCTCACAACTAAGCAAGCTAATCAGAAGCTGATGGATGCCTCTGAGTAGTGCTCAGGAAGCATGTGAAAGTCATCTGCAGAGACCAAGTCCATAGAGCCACATGCCACCAAGAGGGGTACCCATTGTTCCCACAAATGTACAAGTGAGACAAACCTGTAAGAATCATCAGTAAAGCTGGGCATGGTGGCCCACATCTTTAATCCCAGCACTCGGGAGGCAGAAACAGAAAAATCTCTGAGTTCAAGGCCAGCCTGGTTTACAGAAAAAGTTCCAGAACAGCCAGAACTACACAGAAAAACCCTGTCTCAACCCCCCCCCCAAAAAAAGAAATTGTCAGTAATAACCAATACTGTCTGACATAAGAACCCACAGTACAGACAAACGCTGGGATCCCACTGGGACACCAGACAGTGTTCTGGTTTCAGAGGAGATCCACTATCAAACAAAGCACAGCAAGTACCCATGGCTAGATGGTACCTTTTGTAACATGGACCCATGAGTATCAAACTGAGAATACAGAGCAGTCTGGAGCCGACAAGTCCAGAACTCCATAGATCTCTTCCTGAACGCACTAAGCTGAGCAAACGTGATGGGTCTTCAACGACTGTCACACCTACAGTGCTTCACACCTAAGCTGGAAAGAGCTAGGTGACGACTCACACTGCAAGTTCTGGGAAAGGGAGGTGGGTATGTGCAGGAGAAAAAATGTTTTCTAGTTCCACTTTTCACTTGTATTAGAAAATTAACATTTGACTATAAAGATTTGTAGGGTAAAATATTTAAAATACAGTATATATACTTCTTCAACTCGTATTTCTTTAGCTCACTTCTAAAAGGGCTGCATTAACAGCAGAACTCTCGTGTAACTGAGAACACACAGCATGGAATTCAAGCCACTCCTTGCAACCACCTTCCCCTCAGAAGGGAGGGTTCTGCCAGGCCTCTAAGCACACTTCTCCTTCTAACTTGATGTGGACAGGAGATAATCTACCCGAGGTTCCTACAGTCCCCTAGAACCAATTCCCCAGTGAGGAGCCCACTGCAGAAACACAACTGTCTACTACACTCTATTCTTCCCAGATCAGTGTGGGACAGAACAAGCTTGAGATGCTGCCTCTAGGGAGGAACCCCACTCCTCACCTTAACCCATGGGAAAATGCTAAAATCTTTCTTTGGGGAAAGCAAATGCTAAAACCCTCTCGACAATTAGCAACTCAAGTATATTACTAATATTTCACACAGTAGTTTTTTAAAAAGAACTTAGACATGCTATACCTTTCCTAAAACCACCTGTAAACTCTGTCCATGGTTATTCTTCTGGGGAATCCCAGTTAAATCTATCATATCTTCCCAGAACAGGTACTGAGCATTGGTCCTGATCCATCCTTGGGGCCCAGCTCTAAGGAGGATCTCCTCAAATATGCTAGGCAAATGATAACAACTACAGAATGAAAATGTATCAGTAGTGTGCCATAGTCATTTAAAAAAATCATGAAAGAACTTTTCACTCTATGAAAACAGCTTTTTATAAGAAACACACAAAACACTTAAGCCATAAAGAAAAGTGGTAAATTGACAAAATAAAAATGGAAATTCAACCACAGGTTATAAAAAACAAAAAGAGAAGCACCATGAACTCAAAAGACAAATGAAAACTATCTGCAAAACACAACAAAAGGTTTGTTTCGCATTATTCAAAGAACCCTTTAAGTTATAAGGAAAACAGACAAAAGCCAACAGGAAAAGAAAGGCAGTGACAGGGACGGACGATTCACAGAAGAGCAGCTCCTACAATCATTTCAGAACTGACAGCAGAAAGTGACACAGTACCCAGCCACACGATACTCACCCCCTCAACAGCTGCCAACGCGGGGTCTACTCCTCCAGCTCCTCCTAAAGCCATCTTAGAGGAAAACGCAGACATCATAGCCCTTCATAGGGAAACAGCCTCCATCTATCATTACCTAACAAAATTAATCATTTCTCAATCACATCTAAGGGCCCCAGCCTCCCCACTGTTTCCAAATGAATCTTTTTACATGGTGACTCTGCTGTTCAGGACCCAAAAGCTAATCCTGATCTGAGTGCCACCTCCCTATGCCTTCCTTCACCCTCTGTTGTCTGTCCGGTAAAAAGCCATGAATTTGAATTTGTTGAATGTGGCCCTATAATGTTCCTGTAGTTTTCTGCTTGGGATGCTGGGCTTAAATTGTGCTGCTTCTGGTACTGTCATTCACTGCCAAAGGCTGCCAAGAACACACTGCAGTTAAAGTAAGTTACTCCCTGCTCTTGCAGGGAGGGGCACAGTGAGCACAGACAGAAGTTACTGGAGTCACAGGACTCAGCACTGGTTTGGTAACTGGGAACAGAAGATTCTCTGCACTGGCTGCTGTCAGCGGAAATGGATCAGCTTCACCACTCTGGATCTGCAGTGTGCAAAGCAGTAGCCACGCCCTTGGCTGGGGATTCAGTAGGCAGCAGCAACCATGGTTTTGTCTCCCTGTAAGTGCAAGCAAGCTCCAGAAGTTCAGGAATGTTCTTTCCTTTTTACCACGTTCAACCTGTAGCCTGCAGTTCACATGCACCTAGGGTAGCTATGAATGTGACCCAAAACACAATCACAAACTTCCTTAAAACATGAGATTTATTTGCAATTTCTTTTGTAACTCAACTGAGTGGTTCTCCAGCATGAACTCTGTAGATGACAACAGTGTCTCAATACAAAGTGTGACAGACCTGCTAAACTATAAAAGCCCTTCAAGTTGGTCACCATGCCCTTCTGATGATACAAGGCCCAGAAGCCTTGGAGAAAAATGTTCCAGGTCCCCTTCCCCATTCCTGTTCCAAACCTCAGCCACACCCCTACAGGGAACCTTGTCTCTTTAGCTGAAAATGACTATTTGGAAGTCCATGCCTCCTAAGACTGTCATTGTCCTTGATGTTAGACATAATGTCATCACAATAATGCCACACTACTGTCATAACACTGTTTAGTACGATCACTTCCAGGTCTTTTGAGCAGAGCTACAGACTGACGTTAAGGGAAAAGCACATCCCAAGTTCACCGTGGCATTTCTATCCACAGTTACGATCAGTGCTCTCAGCTCCTCAGACTGCACGAGCCTCACTTTTCTTCATTATAATTGTGTTCCTAACCATTTTTCACCTAAATCTAATGGGTGTGTATGCTTTTCTCTTGGAATTTTCAAAATTCGACACAACATTTGGGAGGTCAAGGACATAGGCCAAGCCAGATAAAGTGGGTTCAGGGGGACATGACTCCTCTCTGTCTCTCTCCTCACAGAACACACTGTTCAGCATCACTGCTAGGGAACAGGTAGAGTGCATTACTTATCTGCTGCTTCACATGACTTCTTTCATTACCAATACATCCTGAACGCTTGCAGCAAACAAGCTCAATACAAATACAAATTAAAATTATTGTCAAGTTGATGGCTTCAGCTACAGGTTACCCAAATTCAAAGTCAGAAAATACACTGGATGGCTAAGAGTATAAGAAAAAGGGTACATCGATTTGGCATTATCTATCAAATCTGTAAATCACAACATCTTTGGTACCTCAAGTTCACTTCCAGCAATCATCCTAGCTGTTCAACTGCAGCCCCATAACAAAAGACCAGAAACACCCTCAGCTTACAGCACAGGGAATTTAGCAATGGAACATAATTTTTTTTTTTAATTTTTGAGACAGGATCTCACTATGTAGCCTCAAACTCACAGAGGCCTGCCTGCCTCTACTTGCACAGTGCTGGGATTAAAGGCATGCATCAACCACCACTCCTGGCCAGAAAACAATTTTGGAAATAAGGTGGCTCTCCGTAAACAGCCAGAGTGACCTAAAGAGAAGCTCTAATTGAGAAGTACCAGAGTGTCTTTGCACACCCTACTCACATAAAGCGGACAGCGCCCAGGGTGCCGCAGATACTGGGATGGGTGTGACGGGCACCTCCAGGGGCTCTGAACAACTGTGTCAATGTGTGCACACATAATGAGTTAATAACAGAATGCCTTCGAGGGAGGAAGGTTAGTCTTCATTCTTTAAACATTTATAACTCACCTTATTGTGTACCTGTATTAATTTTTAAAGTAAGCTAATTTTAAAGAATTCTTCATGAACAGTAAATCTTATTAATGTCAACTGCAGCTTTTCAGTGCTCTTCATCTGGAACTTGCCAATGCTTCTGTACAGCAGAACCTCATGAATCAGCCCTGCACACAGCCCCAAGTTACATCACAACCAACGCATCAACTGTAGAAAAAAACTCAGCACCTCCCCCCCCCAAAAAAAACACAATCATACCTTCGTGCTTTGATAATAACACCTAAGTCACTCTTTACAGAACAATACTGACTCTAGCTTGAAAACAGTCATATATCTCTTGAAGACTAGCAACTGAAATTGAACATTGACATAATGTTCCTACATTAGTATCATCAGTTATTTTTGCTCAATTAATCCTAAATGAGTAAAAATATGAATGAATGAGTCTATAGTGCGAAGACTCAATTAACCATTAATTACAACACACAGCTCTTACATACAAATGAATGTAACTAAAACCATCACTGTTAAGCGCCTACATAGCAGGCTCTATGTTGAGTGACTTAAACACATTATCTCTGATTTTATAACAGTCACAAAATGTAAGTACTACAATAAGTGTACATACAGGGAAAATGCTTAAGTGAAATGAAGTAATTTGCCCATGGCCTCAGAACTAAGTAGCAAAGCAAACTACCTATACAAAGTGTTCACTGTTGCAAAAGCTACTTTCCTGACCCTTAAAGAGTATATACTGCAGAACATGTCTTTTGCAAAAAATTACTCTAAAAGTGATAAAATATTCCCTTTAATGGCTAACAATATACCTATACACTCAAATGCCATAAAACTACTTGGGCAAACAAGAGCATGCGCCACACTGCTGCAAGTTCACTACTATGAACTGACTGCAGAGTGGGGGGTGGGGGTGGGGGTTGGACATGACAGCAAAAGCCGGTGATATAATCAGAAAGATGCCACTTTAGAATCATACTATTGCCAGGCACAGACAGAGCTTGTGCCTGTGGGAACAGCTACTTGGAAAGTTAAAATAGAGGAATCACACAGGCCAGGAAGTGTGAGGTCAGCCTCAGCAACAAGAAAATCATATGTGTCAGTGTATGTATCCATGTGTCCATGTATGTGTGAATATACCGACAGAAATTCTGTTGGCATAATACTACACAGGATAGAAAGTAAAGAAAACAATTCATCAATCAACATGGTGTCCTAAGACTGACTGTATTCCAGAGTCAGATTCTTCAGCAACCCACCATGGAAACGACATCATTTTATGTTAACATCTAAAAAGCCCTAACAAAACTAAGAGTCACATCAGCTTACCTACTAAGAAAGCAGTGTTGCCAGGTGTGGCGCATGTCTCTAAACCCAGCACTCCAGAGGCAGAGGCAGGAGAGTCTCTGTGAGTTCAGATGGTCTACATAGCAAGTTCTAGGCCAGCTAGAGCTACACAGTGAGACCCTGTCTGAAAAAACAAAGAGAGAAAGAGCAAGAGAGAGAAAAAGAACAAGAATGCTCACAAGCATTTGAGCACATTGCATGTGTCAATCTCAAAGCTGGGAACCCCATCTTACTGAAGAATCCCTTGAGTTTAGTAAATGAACCTATTGACAAAAAAAAAACAACAGATACTTCTAAGAATGTGCTGATGCATCCCCAGTTCTCCCAGTTCTCCTCCATCACCCCCACCAGCACCCCATGAGCTCAGTCAACAGTCCACTTCTCCAGTTTTTTTTTTTCTCCTATAAAATAAGCAACTTGAAATAAAGTCTAAGCCAGGTGTTCTACCTCCTGTCTGAAGAAGGAATGGCAGTTTGTTCTAGAAGCAGTTGTGAACCACAGAGGTGCTATCAAAATGACCAGCAGGTGTGCATTTCTAATCTGAGATAACCCAGGGTTGGTCCCAGAGGACTGCTGGTCTAATCTGAGGGACCCAGGGCTGTGTGCTGCCATTAGAGAGTGTCAAAAGCATGTACCCAGCCTAAGAATTCTCTTAACTGCCTGCTACTACAGAATGAACACTCCCTGAACAGAATGGAAGAAAGACAAAAAGAAAAATGTTTTTGGATTGAAAATAAATCAATGTGCTGGAGGTGGTGGCACACTCCTTTAATCCCAGCATTCAAGAGGCAGGTGGATCTCTGTGAGTTCGAGGCCAGCCTGGGCTACAGATTGAGTTCCAGGACAGTCCAGGCTATCACACAGAGAAACCCTGTCTCAAAAACAGGAGAGATTGGGGGAGGGGGGAGAGAGGGGGAGGGAGAGAGAGAGAGAGAGAGAGAGAGAGAGAGAGAGAGAGAGAGAGAATAAATTAATGTGAACACTGGAACATTAAAAAATGCAATAAAAAAATTTAAAGTGGGCAAAGGATTTGAATAAACATTTCTTGATCACAGACAAGTAGGTGTCCTAACAAGCACAAAAAGGTACGTAGCAGATCATCACCAGGGGATGTAAACAAAGGGTACAACCTACTTCTCCGCTGCCACCCTCCGGAGACGGCCCACCACTGGATTGGCTTATACAGACTGAGCTATGCTCAGCAGAGACACTCCGGTGGTTCTGCATCCGCATTGGCAAGCTCCATTCCTTCTGCACACCACACAAACATACTTCTGAGGCACTCAGGTCTAAGTGTGAAAGGAATCAGGGAGGATTCCAATCTGGACACAGGAGAGTTGTCTCCCAGAGTACCTTTGGGACCACAAGGTAGCAAAAAAAACCAACAGAAGAGGACACACAGAACACTGACTGGCAGACAGGAAGTGACCAGTTTCAATTCACCCAAAACTGGTCCAAGACTGAAAAGGCAAGCCACACTCAGAATGTATAAAACTCCAGCATTTCAGTGAGACAACTCACTAAAACGGGAGAAAGACCATTTCTTTATTCATTTGTTAAGTGTTTAGCTGCTTGGGCACAGTAGCTGAGGCAGGAGGGTTGCTGCAAGGTTCAGGCCAGCTTCAGCTATAAGGTGATCCCTTGTTCAAACAATCAAGAAAGTATTTAGCTAACTGCAGCACGTGGAGGCAGGAGTGACTGGTGAGTGGAACTCACATATGCTAGTAGGAACATTAGTTGGTACAACCACTTTGGAAAACCGGCAATATGCTAGGATCTACTAAAGGTATCACACATTATAATCATCTATTCTAGATATACACCCAAATAAAATAAGTGTGCCAAAACATAAAGCATGAGTATTTATCGTTATAAATGGTTATTATACTATAAAAGACAATCACTGAGCTAAGAAAGATGTACAGATTTACTGGCTTTGCCTCTGTTGTTGGAAGCTTACTCAGTCTGGCTGTGGGATTAATTAAAATTTCTTGTTTTGGGAGACAAGAAGATTATCACTCCTGCAAGAACGACTCTGTAAAGGAAAACTGTCCACAGCCAAGGCTTCTGTTCTTCCGGGGATCTTTGAAGAAAATCTGACTCAGAACTAATAGTTTCTTTTAAAGAGTCCTCCTTTGGTTCTAAAGAGCTCCTTCTGGTCCAAAGGGCAGATCACACGAGGGCTGGGAATGTAGCTCTGTGGTGGAGGATTTGCCTACCATGCACAAGGCCCCATGTTAGATCCCCAGCACCACAGGGGAAAGGGGATCAATACTCTAGCAGGTTGCCATTTTGCAACAAACGTAATCACACTGACCCTCTTTCTGTTTAAGGATGGTTATAGGTCAGATGGCAAATCATTGGTAGACGTCTGAGAAACCCATATACCAC